TCACCACGAACTCGAGACTTTCGGGCTACTTGGATTAGGTGGTTTAAGGGAACTTACGCAGGTTTACATCCAAGTTACAAAAATTTGGAGGAAACAGATTACTCATCAAATGGCCTGAGACATGGAAGTGAGATGGATGCAAAACATTCAGTTTTCTACGCATCTCAAACGGAGTTATTACAAACACGCCAGCAAATCAGAACTACTCCCCCAGCCCCCAAAGCGAAATCAGTGCCAGAATCATGTTGTTCTGCAACCAAGTTGGGACCGTCTGTAACTCATTCCCAAATCCTCAGTCTCACTCAGGAGCATTTTCTCCAGTGATAAGGCTTCATCAGGAAACACAGCTGGATGGAGGAAGGAAATTCTGAGAAGCAAAAAAAAAAAAAATAGTGGGGGTTCCAGGAAGTTCAACCAGATAGGAACTAATGGAATTTGTTTTTCTGTCTCCCCAGCTCCCAGTGTTCCTAAGCAAGTGAGAAAATCAGAGGGAAAGTGGGGGCAAAAAAAGTCTGGCAGATCTTACCCTGCAAAACAGGTCCTCACTGTAAGTCTCCAGAGAGCATCATAATTACAATTCAATATTTTCGATCACTTACTCTCCCTGGGAAAAAACTGCAGACGTTTTCAATTTAGGTCCACTCTGAAGCCCAGCCATTGTTTTCTTCCCCTGATTTTCTTTTTATTATTATTTTTTTATTATTAAACAAAGGTGGCTGTGTAGTTTATTAAGGAGGTTTTAGTTGGACAAACGATTTATCAAAAATAATAATACTGATAAAAAAATACTGTTATGTTTAACATTCAGGAGAATTAAAGGTTTCAAGTGCCTACGAATGGTAACACGCATCCCAGAACCATCAAAACAATAGCTTAAACTAATATCTCGGTCTTACCACTTCCAGAGAAACTCCTTTCGACCCTTAGGGGCAAACCACATTTCCTTCCATATCCTTTGCGATTCCACTCTTTTGCAATCTTTACAATCCTCTGGCCAACTCCCTTTTCCTTTGATAACGCAGATAACCCAAATTTCAACATCCCCGCTTACTGCAGTAGTGTCAGTGTGAAGGAAGAGAAGAGACGCATTAGCCAGATCAGTCCTAGGCGACCAAGACAGTTTAAAAGTTGAGCCTGAGATCAGCTCTACAGTTAAGACAGATTAAGCTTGCACAAAACATCTTCTGCCAAAGACTGCTCCGCAGGTCAAGATCATAAAACGATTGCTAATGATCGTATTAGAAAAGCCTGAAACATGACTAATTAGAACGGTGTCTCTGTGACATATCTAATTTGTTGAGACGCCATTTATCACAGCAGCAGTTCAGAGGGGACATATTTTTGACAAGCACTTCAGAAGAGCCAGGATTATCTTGCTGGTCCAGAGACCACATCACTTAGCCTCGAGCCCTTCCACTAGTTTCCATTTGACCATAAGCACAGATGGAGTTTCCTGGGTTTCACTTATTTCTCCCCTTTGCCTAATCTTGAGGAACAGTTTGGTATAACACCAGTCAACCAGTCAGACCTGGTACAACAGTGCAGATGAGCAGAAATGTAATCCCAACTGCCAGGATCTACTGCACGTTAGGCCATTTATAGAACTAGGAAAGCTCAAAGACCATGGATACAATAGCTCTTAGGTATAAGAGAACTCACTCAGATGAAAAACCTGGCCATAACACCATCAATAGCATACATCCTTAAACATTTCCATACCTTCCACTGTGTCTCTGATGCCTACGGAACTGCAAATGATCACCCAAATGAGTCCGTTTACAGCATAAGCGTTTTGTTATTCAAAATGTTCCCATCTTCTGCTCCTTAAGTGATCGCTTTCATCCATCCACTGAATTTTGTCGGGGGCTTAAATTGGAGGCTTTAAGGGAGGGAGATAGTCAAAACTCAGTTGGACAAGGTCCTGAACAACTTGCCGTAGCTGACCCCGCTTGGAGAAGGGCGGTCGATCTGGAGACCTCCAGAGGTCTCCTCCAATCTCAATAATTCTGTGATTCTATGAAAAGCAGTTCCTCCATATTTCCATGAAGATATACCCAAGATGGTTTTGATCCTGGACCGAAACAACTACAACTATGGGAAATAGAATTATGCTGAATATCTTTGTCAAAAGATGACGACTGTACTGCGAGCTGAAGACAGGTCGTTCAGCCCAAATCAAATTTGTACCGAATGCTTCTCAAACTGCACCTCTGAAAAAAAGAGGATGAATCTAATACCTTGGGAAGAGCTTTACAGATAGGACTTCAAGCTACAGGATCAAGATACTTCCTTGTACCATCTCAGTTGCAACTACAGCCGGGAACCTGCAATCAGATGAATTGTTAGTAGCAGTTCTGGCACCTATGGCACAGTATGGACACTGTCCTCATCTGCTGTGAGCAGGGACAGCAACGTACAGCTGTTACTAACAGCTGTACAGAGCAGGAGCTGCAATTAAAAGCTGCAATTAAAAGGGACTGCAGCATGCCACAGCCTGAAGGCATACCCCAGGGCTCTAATGGACACCAGGACTCTTCCTACATTATCTTTGCACGGGAATAGATATGAGCAACTCGCTTCCAGGAGAGTGACAGCACCTTGCTGCTCCTGCAGTGCGCTCTCTGCCACATCAGGGAAATGCCCAGAGCCTGAGGATTTCAAAACAGAATGCAAACACACACAGAGAACAGGATCGCAGATCCTCACAGGGCAGTTCCATTTATGCCACCTTAAGGACCAGGCTCTGCAACATGATGGAAAGGGATCACGAGAGTTCATGGGCGCAATGAAATGAAATTGCTCAGAGCTGGAGGGCCCGAGCAATGCATTTTTGTTCCGTGCAAACTCCACAGATCTCTGATCCATGAAGGAAAGGAAGGCGGAGGGCGGGGGGGGAAAGCAATTGTGCTGCCTCTGGCTTTCTATCCCTGTGGCTGCTTAGCAGCAGACGGTAGCCAGAAGACGACAATGCAGCTCCAAATTACATTACCTCCTGCCTGTATTTGCATGTGGAAATCTGGGTGCTTAACAGGGAACAGTCTGTGACGTTTCGCCAGAACCTTGAACCACTAGCTTAGTGTTCAGCGAGGGGAAAAAGGAAATCTGCACAGTAGCCAACTGCCAACCACTGCATCGGTCAAGGAAGCAGCAAATGCATGCACAAACTTATACTAAATGCATATTATTTGGGGCCATAAATGCACATTATTTGCAGTGTCTACCAAAAGATGACCAAACACTCTGCAGGATAAAGTCCCAGAAGCAGCAACAGCACTTTCCAAACTTATTTTTAGTTTCAAAAGACACAGGGGACACAGAGAAAAAACAAGACCAACTCTTCGGGACAACTCACGGGTGGGAAAAAATCTACTCCCTTAACCATAGCACTGTTGATTTGCATTAAATCCCAGTTTGTCTTGCTTCGTGTTGATCTAACAGCAAGGGAGCTAAGATGTAGATCCATGGCATATCTAGGCGATCGCAAGTATTAATCAAGGGGGCTCCGACGGTGCAAGCTTACCTACAGCATTTGAGACCTCTAACAGCTCTCACCGACTTGAAGCCCCCAAATGCTTATTTCAAGACAGTAATAAATTAAGATGGGCTCTGTTGTGGCTGATGGGCTCCTCCCAAGCTCTTACCTTTCAAGCCAAACCATGTGACTTGTAACAAAGGTTTGGAGTGTTTTTCACAGTGGCAGACAAGACAGGACAGTTCTTAATTTGTTTCAATTTCTTCTAACCTCCCAGTTTAATTAACTGTAACCGTATTTTTGTAGTTTGGAGAACAGTACTCAGAAAACAGACTTGACATTTTTCTGTGTCCCACCAATAACTCTAAAACCTACAGCACCTTCACTGAAATTATAGCACTATGCGGAATAATGGCAAGACCAAATCCTTCAAAGTGTTCAAGACAACCCACTGAAGTATTCTTTATTTTATAGCAAGAGTTTTTTCCAGTGAAGAATGCCCAGTAGATCACTATTTGTTCTTCACAAGCTCCCTTGTCATTGCCCCTAGCATTTACACAGCTACAAACCTTGTATCACTTTCACTACTATCCAGGATCTCTTAGCACATTCTTCCCCCTATTCCTCCCCTCCCAAAGTTCACAGTGGCCTACAGTGAAGTTACAGCACAATTTTCAAGAGTACTGCCCAACAAGCAAAGTGTCAGTGTATTTCAGAAATTTCCATTCAATTTAAGACCCCCACCTTTCCCTCTAACTACAGGAGACTTCAAAGACCTCTGAACCAACAGGGCAATTCCTGCAACATATTCATTTGTGCTTTCCAGATGTTATCTTTTCCAAAGAATTCTTCTCGACGCATTAGTCATGTTGCAGTATAAGTCTGTTATTTTATACACTGATATAGCAGGACTATTCTCTGCAAGTGCAAGATGCTAATGAATACATGAATAAAATAAAATAAATCCTAGTACAAACCTTGATCTCATTACAGAAAGTTGGGGAAAAGTCTTCTCATAAAATATTTACCAGTGTTCAAGCCATCTTTGAATCCTTTCTTCAAAGATAAGCAAGTCTTTGCAGCTGTTTCCCAATTCTTGTGAAAATAAGGGCAGTTTGTTGAGACTGCCCAGTTGCTACTGAATGTCATTTTGGGTATCTGTGGACCTTTCAGATGAAGCAAAATTTATCTACTTTGCAATGTATATTGTCTAAGAAGTGCAAAATTAAAATACTGAAGTTTCCTAACTCCAAACAAGTTGCATCATGATAATTCACAAAATTATGTATTATTAAAGACATTAAATTCACAAAAATACATATTAAACGCACTCCTATTTCCTAACGGTTCAGAGCACAGCCTTCCACCTGCAGCCTTCACATGGAAACAACAGTAACTTCACAGGGAGAAGACCTCTTGCTTTTGATGGGCGTATGGTAATCCCATTAGAAGACAGACATTTAAATATGGTTTTGTTGTAAGGGATAATAGGCATAGAAACAAGAGAAAGCTGAAGCCTCTTGTTTACCTGTGTCTTCATACTCTTCTGTCGCTTCCCAAATATGCAGGACAGATCATCTTCACTGCGCGAAGAGAGATCCTTACCTGAAAGGAAGGGGAAAAAAACCAAAACCACCACTAACTTCACATCTGGTGATGACAGGCATGTTTTGATAATACAAACTACCTACAGAGGTAGAGAAATTGTTTTTAAAGGTGAAAAAAAATCAGGAGGAGAACATTAAAGACACTAAGTGAAGGCTGACCATGGCGCTCATGTACAGAAAACGCGTGCGCGTAGAGGGAAAGGCTGGTGAGGAGACAACCACGGCCTGCTGGTAGATGCCCCCAGGGAAACAGAAAATAACAGCTTGTTTTCCCCCACCTGATGCTGCAATTGTCAGAGGACGATGAGGGAAGCAGCCTCCACTATGCTGAAGGGAAAGAAGAGTTGTAACCTCCTACACACAAGAAAAGTTCAGCGAGAAGCTGCACATCTTAGGATTCTCACGAGAATTTCCCATCTCTGACAGACTTAGGTAGTTATAGCTCCTCCAAACAGTGAAATAAAAACCTAAATACTCATCTTTACTCAGTGGGGACTTTTCTTTAATTCATTAAATTGCTTCTGAAAAGCAAAACCTCCATCTCTACAACGCACTGGATTATTCCAACTTAAAACAATTTCAAGGGTGAAGCAAATATTTCGCTGAGTTCCAGTAGGACCATCACTCCTCTCTGTCTGTCATACGGCTACATGAGTATCAGACATGGAGCAGGGAAGGGGAAGCAAAAGGGTGTGACATGATATTCTGAGACACCGGCAAAAGTTTAGCCAATTCCACAGCGCAGAAGCCTTTATATTGAGCTGTCCACAACTTGTCTCAGAAAATTCTTTAAAAAAAAAAAAATTTAAAAAAAATCAGCAAAAGTTAAAGAAACAAAATTAGCCCAGAGAGGCCAACTTCTAAGGAGCCTGGTGGGATCTTACTCCACTTGATTTTCTCATTCCAAAATCACTGACCTCAAAATGAATCTAAGCACTTTTAATGAACAAAAACAAACAAAAAATAAATCTGACTATTCCACCTGTTTTTTTTCTTCTCAGGATCCTTAACTGCCCACAGAAGGTAAGCAGACACACCAACCTAGAGGAGAAAGGGTTACCCAACCTCCTGGTGTCTCACTGGGCAGCCTCTAGGTGTCTTTACCCAAGTGGATGAGACTGGTGGCTGTTTTCAGCTTTATCTTGGCCAAGGCTTGGGACATGACACTGACAATCCTGCTGTTCCTCCTCTCGCCCTACGCTTTCTTTCCAGGCCTCTCTCTCCCCCTGTATCCCTTCTCTTTTTGCATTCTCCAAGAGCAAACCAACTTTGCTGACGGACCAAATCTTTTGCAGCATCACAGCGGAACAGCTACTAGAAAAGCAATTGAAATCACTGTCTTCATCTCATATTGGTGTGTATTTCCCAGCTCCAAGCGTGGCTGCGAAAGCTGCGTCTGGTGCCGATGTACCTCCAGCAGCGAGGCTACAAAACGGCACCAGAAACGGAAACTGCATTTTCTGTCGTTGCTGCTCCCTTCTCCCGCTTTTGTGTCAGCTCGTCTTGTTTAGTCTAAAAGGAAGCAGGATCGGACTTGAACAACAAGGGCCACGACAATATTAGCCTCTCTCAGATAACTTTTCATCTTTCCCTGAAAAAGGACAATTTCCCCCATTTTAGACCACAGAGGGTACAATCAAAGAGGTGCCTACCTTATAGAAACACTGCAGCCAAACAAAAAAGGGATATTGTTAATATGAAAGCCTTGCTTCATATTTTACATGCTCAAAAGACACTTCTTTTTTCGCTATAGTTAGTAGAAGGTTAAATCCAAATCAAAATAAATCCTCTTTGCTACTACCTCCAACAGGCCACAGCCTCTGCACTTGCAAGCCCTGAACCAATTTAATCGTTTAATGTCATAAAGTGGCAGGGTCATGTTAACACGTTTGACTCCTAGGCTGAATTATTTAATCAAAAAACCCGAACCCCAATATGAGAATTTGGCCTCTATTCAGATGTCAATTACTTCTGTTTTAGCAGAGGCATTTGTTATCAGGAAATATTACATAGTCCTTTAAGTACAATAAATTAGCCACTCCTGGAAACTGAACCTATCCTTACACTGGAACACATATATACACACGCCACGTGCATGTGGGTGCGTGAAAGGGGAACGTAACCAACAGAGGAACGGAGCAAGGGATCAAACAATGGTCAAGAGCCAAAACAAGGGATAGCTGAAATAAAGTCATCACTCCAAGAAAGAAATAGATTATTAAACTCCATGAGTTCTTCATGCGGTTTCTGTGGCCGCCAACCGCTGTCCTGATTTATCCAATAAAGCATCTGATAGATGTAAGAGGGCTTTCCTCTTCCTGCATTCAGGTTTAATCTGATCACTGATCTTATCCACATGATCTCTTAGTGGGGGTTACTGGAGATTGCAGAGGATAGTGCGGTGCAGATGCCCAAGTAACGCTGTTATCACCTCCTCCTCCCCCTCCCATCCCCTGCCCACACACAGAGCGCTCAGAATGTTCACTGTTCCTTTATTCGGCTGATGGTTCCTTCAGATAGAAATTGTTGTATTCAACAATATCAGCCTAAAGCCATCCAAAATTGTCCAATATGAAGAGAAGCGGCATATTATAGCTTTAAGTAAGTTGCTGCCAGGGGTAGTTCTAAACCAAGATTTTACTTGCCAAATTTAGACCCCAGAGGGCAACAGATCACCTTGACATGTTTGTGGGTTTGGGGTTTATTTTTCTAATCTCAGCTAGAGCTTACGAAACAACAAAACTCCTCTTACCTTTTGCAAACTTCATATAATGGACACGTTTCTTGGAAGATTTGGATTTTTCTTCGAGACTGAATGCCTTTTTCTGATTATTCACTGAGGACAAAAAACAAAACCAAACAAACAAGTTCCAATCCCATTAGAGGCACTTTAACCAACAAATTCAAACATCAGCGTATCTAACTTTCTCTCTCAAAACCAAGTCTCAACAATATATCACAACATATTACTGAAGGAAACGTGGTAAGTTTTGTCCGAGACATGTTACTGCTTGATTTTTTTTGCCACATCTCCTTGCCTTCCCATCTCCAATCTAATGCAATTTGAAAAGGCAGATACAGGTACTCCAAGTCAAAGACAAAGTCTGATTTAACACACTATTTCTGCAGTAAGAAAAGAAAAGTCAGGGTTTATTGTGCTGTTTGTTACAAAATATCTCCAGTGCCAGAGTCTGAGAAAGACGTAAGAAATAGTACAAAAATACCAAACCTGTCAGGGCAGAAAGAAAAAGGGGAAAAATAAAAATAAAATAAAAAAAAAAATCACACAGACAGGCTTTCCACTTCTAACACGACATGAAGTGCCTCTAACTGGACATAGTCCGATACATCTATGTAAGGAAATTAAACAGTGGCAGAGCTTTTCTGTCCCTGCGGCCAGTTAGAACAAATTGCCACGTTCATATTATTTAATTTTCCTAGCTTGCAGAAGAGGGGCTGCATGTAAACTGTCCACTGGGAATGGTCCCTGGGGTTGGCTAAGTCCCAAATTCACTCAGGAGTTGTTCGGGAGAATGTTAGCATGTGCAGGTCAACACCACGTGAAGGATTAGTCTAACTATTTAGCAGTAGAGATATCAAGTTCCTGTGCCGTGGGAGGTTATTTTACTGGTACAGATGTACTCTTTGCATCCACAGAGCCTGATAATTTACAAGAAATTCTCAGAAGGAGGTAACCTGCTCTCCGGTTAATAACTCCTTTATTAGTCCTGTCCTGAAAAGAAATACGTACCATAGAATTCTCTGCTCTGTAACTCTAGAAAAGGCTACTCTGGTGAGATGGTTTTTTTTTACTCCCAGTGGTAACTGGGATGGATAGGGAAATCAACCCATACCCGGAGGGCCAAGTTGAGTCACCTTTTTCGTATCCTCCCACCCCTGACAGCTCTGCAGACCAAGCTTTTCTGACATTGGAATCGCAGCACGTCACTGTTTGATAGGTAGTGACACCTGATGATAGAGTCATTGCCCTAAAAATGAAACCCACGGCCTGCAGCGGGAGAGCTGACTACCAGAAAGCAGCCTGAGGTCTCCTCTTCCATTTATAAACTAAGCCCTAACGAGAAGAGGAAGGACAAGCAAACCCAGTTTGAGACAGAGTTTGCAGTCAACTTGAAAATCCTCAATTAAAGAGGTGTACAGGGAAAATTAGCATCACAACTAAAATATCCTGACCAGGAACGAGGCACTTTAATTCTGCTCTCCGGTCCACTCCTACCAAAGGGAACATTACACAGCAAAGGAATTCCACAGGGCTTCCTCCTCCACATTATTCTGACAGCAAAAGGGGCAGCAGCACCACCTTGTGCCTTCAAGGAGGAATTTCACTACTGAAACGTGTTGGCACTTGCGATGGACAGGCAGGTACATCCCTGCATCTTCCAGTGACTGCTAAATCCTCCGACAAACTCTGCAAGCACTGCAAGAACACTAACGTGCTTTTTAAAGAAATTTAGTCATAGCTATAAAGCCACGTGTCATTTCTACTGCAAATCTGATACAGAATTGCACGTTACAGACACAGGCAGCACGTCGTTGCCCCATTTTACGAATGGGAAAGGGACAGTCATCATCATTTATTATCCCAGGAAAAGAGCCAGGAATTAAAACTCCTCACTAGGTGCTCAGCTAGGAAAAAAGAAAAGAAAGCTAAAACGGTGTACATCAAGGATATTTGAATGTTGGCATACTAACCACCATGGGGCCCTTCCTTCCCGATCTCTAATTGCAATCCAACTCTGGCAACTACACCAGTTATTTAAGAACAATGAAGTTTTTCAGCTGACTTTTAATGCAATTTGAAACTGGATGATGGCCAATAATGTAACATTTGATCCTGTAGCACAGCTGCAGGCAGAGTTATATGGATGAGTTTTGCCAGCTTAAACAGTTGCCAAAAAACCAAGTTTCAGAGCAACACTTGCAGTCCGCAAATCACCAAACGTGATTCCGACTGGGAATTTTTAACGTGCACCCAAATTTGTCCTCAGTGATTGAAAACTCTTGTCCCGGTGCCTAAAAAGATCAAGGGAAAATAACGGAGTAAAACAGGGAAAAATATGGTTTTCAAAGGTCACTTTGCATAAGTACAGATGACCCAGGGAATAACTGCGCAGATTTAGGAACAAGACAGCCTTGCTCAACGAACCTGCCTCCGTGCTGACTCACTGTGTCCTTGGGCAAGTCATTTCAGCTCTCTGCTCATCAGCTTGCAGGTTTCCCACCAGTTACACCTAACTGATCTTCCCATGGCTCAAGTTGGAACTTGGGTAGGATTTAGTTATAAAGGTAGAAAGGAACTTTCGGAATTTCCCTAGGATATGCTATTTTACCTCTTGAGGACTTTAACCACAGCACCTAGCACCTTGTGGCCTCAAACCATGATTAGGGCTCCAATGCACAAAGATAACTTACACAGGAATTAAAAGAAAAAAAAACACATCAGGTTTAGAATTTTAATCCTAGTTCGCTAAGATTAGAAAGCAAGTTTAATCCTTCTTGTGAAATGATTTTCCTGCTCTTTCTGCCTTTCCTCTTCCAGAAAACCTTCTGTGCTCAAACGTTAAGAATGAATGAGTGAGCAAAGGAAGGAGCAGTTGCTAAATTCAGTAAGCTGGCAATTCTGCCACCAGCAGCACGTGGACAGGCTGCTGTCTCCAAACAGAAGCCCTTGGTTTAACACCACTCCACAGAGAGTTATTTAGAGATATAATCAGAGTTTAAACTTGAGTCTAACTAAAGAAGAGATAATAAGCCAACTGAAGTGTACAATTCTTTCTGTAAGCTCACAGCCACCGCTTTTGCATAACTTGATTTTTACAAAACAAGGTCAAACCGTGCACAGTTTTTCAAAATTAAAAGACTATAAATAGCCCTTTCTGGAAAGTTGAGCAGTTTCCCCACTTGTGTGCTCTACATCAGAGGTACAAAAATCACATTATACCACACTCAAAATAGAGATGCATAACTCTGAGGCAAAAGCGAAGAAGCAGCTCTCTAAGGACAGGAAAAGTAGGTATTTAAGAAACCACCAGAGCATGGAAGCCAGGTGTGACAGTTCATTAGTAAAAAGAAAAGCATTGCAATGGCGAGTGATTGCACTGTGAGCCTTCATACTGGCTCCAGTTGCTTTATAAAGAAACAAGTGCTGCTGTAGTACATCCCAGCAAAAGGTCCCCCATGTCGTGGTCCTGGATAAAACAAACAAGTTCAAAATTTTATGTTCGCTTTCCCCAACAAAAAGCTTTTAATAGAGGCCTGACTGAGAGCAAAACCAACCCACCAAGATCTACACATCCAGGGAAACAAACTTGAGCACGGACATGGATGGCAACATGTCCTTCAGCTCCCACTGATTTTGTAGGAGAAGGGGAAGAAGGGAGAGTTGTCAACCTCAGCAAGGAGACTATTAGCAGCCCAAAGGATTGGGCTTCAGCTAGCCTTTAAAGACAAAGAATGGAAACTCTGCCGAGCTTCCAGCATCTGATTGAGTGAAGCACGAACCTACCTGTTTCACCCTGTCCATGGCAATCATTCAGTTCAGCCAGAAGCTGGTTGAAGTCATCCTGATGAGCAATCCAGTTGTCCTGTAAATATCACCCACATGAACACAAGGCAAAAGTCTTCAGAACTAACAGAAGTTTTGCTAAAACAGATATTAAGACTCTGCACACTAAGAAGTAACTCAATTGCATATACTCAATCCCTGTTGGAAGGAGGGACCCTCAGAAGCTCCACAGGTGGCAATGCTAACAGCTCACTACAGTCACTCCCAAGTGCAGAAATGATAAGGGTTGTGTTTGTAAGTCCCTAAACAATACTGAGTTGCTGTTGGCTGTGCGCGTCCCCTGTCTGTGCAAGATGTTTTCAAAAGTGGGCAGGAAATACTAGTGTGATTTTTTTTCCAGCACCAAAAATTACTTAACATGTTGTTTATGAGACAAGCACCTTTAGGACCATGTTCTGCCCTGCATGTGTACCTGAACACCAGTCAGAAAGGTGACTGTATCAGGAAGAGGGACAGAAGGCACAGGGAGAAAGCAAGTATTTCAGTGATTTGCTTGGAAGCAAAAAAAAAAAATAAAAATCTCTGAACAGCCTGCTCCCAGAATTCACTGTAACCTTTCCAAGCAAGTACTTAGTCCTGAAACACCCAACAAAGCAGAACCAAACTCCAGGTCAAGAGTATCCGCAGAGAGGTTCGCATAGGTACATGCTGCCACCAGATGTGGCAACAGATTTCACTAACGTCCCATTACAAAGATTGTGCTTTAGCTGAAATGGTAGCCATTTCCTTACCTGGGTCTAGTGCTCACCTCGTAATTGATGGTTGCTCCTAATCCCAGTGTGTTGTTTTTCACCTGAACCTTGATATGTTCTGTATTTCCTTGTTCCTGAGCCCCAAGACCCTAAGGAGGATTGAAGAGTAAAAATGTAAGGACTTCCCAGCAGTGACTAAGCAACTAGAGATTTTCTACTGTAAGACAGTTTGCAATGAAATATAGCAAGAAACCACAACTACTATTTATTTGCTTCCCTGTAACTGAATTCATTCGCAGGCATTAGCGCACAAGATATTAAGGTTTTTTTAATTTACTACTTAAGCCTCCAGCAAAGTATTATGAACACTAAAATAGCAACACCATTAAGTAGTTGGGTGATTAATCGGGAAGCCACCTGACATTCCTAGGCAAGTCCAAAGTGTTTACAATTTTAAAACAAGACACTACATAAAAAGAACATGCCTCTCACCACAAATACCTCCGTCATTGGGAAGGCAGCTGCGTAACGGCTGTAAGCGCAATGCCACATAGAAGGTACACTGCAGAATGAAGCTGAAAGAGGGAGGGGAAGGGTCAGACTGGAGCTAGCAGGACATTAAGAACTTCTTTTATCTCATTCACACTAAGAAGCTGATGAAGATACTGGAGCGAACAAATGTCAGGTTTTTCTATCCTAAAAAACATAATCATTCAAATCTGGGAAGCAATCTTTAGGCCTGGTATTATCTTTCTTAATTGTACAATCAGAAAGAAAAAAAAAAAAAAAGACAAAGTATTTGGTTTAAAACTTTATTCATGGTAACTACCTGCTTTTTCGCTAATCAGTCACCAGTAACAAATCATCAGCCAAGTCTATGGCTACAGTAAACACGTATGTGGTGGAGTAGTGGAGAGAAGCCCTGTGGACAGATCCCGGGCATATCTCATATTTAAAAAAGGCTGTTGCTATTATGAATCCAGTAGAGCTTACTTGGTCACTGGGGTGGAAAATTTACCTTGAAACTTCTGCTAACCAAAAATCATGGAAGCAAGAAAGACACCTGGGTACACATCCTGCCGTGACCCAATTCCAATACAACTAATAACAGGACTAGTGTTAAGCAGCTTAATTTTGCTGCACAGATGGGCTTTTGCCCATTAATTTGATCAAATTAAGGTTCCATTTGTCTGAGTTTGTAGTGGAATGGAGAGATAAATCCTTCTCGTACAGCTATAACTGTTGTAGAGGAAGATGCGGTAGCTCGAGTAGGAAACTTGTTGTGAAGAAGATCGGGGGGGGAGGGGGTGACAGAAAACAACACGAGGCCTTCTTTTCGCACCCTGACACAAGCAGCGTTCATAATGGCAAAGGTGTTCTCTGCAGTCAGAGGAGCTGGCTGCCTAAAATACAATCAGAACATTTAACAGCACTCTTTCTACTCCGGTTTAGATATCTATTTTAAACTTACACGCATAAACCCCCTATGCATACAATTTACATAAAAAAACCAGTGCTCGAGTGCCATACTTTTAAGTCTGGTCTAAAGCCTAGCGAAACCAATGCCAGTTCCTTGATTTCAGCAGCCTTTGAATCAGGTACCACTGCGTGTTCATGAAATTAGAGGCAGTTAGAAGCCAGATATATATGTGCTAACTGTAAGCTAACTGAGCTATACTGAGAAATCCAAGAGAAGGATTGTTTTTCTAAGTTTTAATGCATTCACAGAATTGACAATGGTCCTAATTTTATTCCTCTTTAAAAAAAAAGGCTGGGACAGGAAATCTAGGAGAAGAGTTAAATAAATATTGCAGGGGGGTTGTGGGCATTCATTTCATTAAACACGCTGACATCCAGGCCCAAATCTCAGCTTTGCTGAGGCACCTTTGTGGAAGTTAAACTGCTTTTAAGGGGCAGCTGAGAAGTCTGCAGCTGTCTGCACTGACCTAGAGATTATTCTTAGCACCAGAAACCCATCAGCTCACCCCACAGGTACAGGCTGGGGCTGGGAAGAAATACAGCTCACATAACGCTGCATTTTGGCTGTTCAAGGAACGCATCAGAAGTAACCTTTAAAAACAGGTAAAAGATTAAAGCAGGTCCTGAAGTTGCTTTAAACGTTACCAAAAGCCAGGGAGAGAACTGAGGGTATAAAGGCAACTTGAAGTCTTTAACCATCACCTGATTTAATGTGCCAACTCCTGCTCTTACTTGGAGACATTACCTTGTCAAAGAGAGGGAATTAAAACTAGAAAGCAGGACAGGCACAAGCAAGCGAGTACCTTTGTAACAAACTGTAAAAATCTAACATTGCTCAAATTCACTGTGTACTTAAGAGAATAAATCAAACAGAAAGAACATGACTGTTTTAAACACTGAGATCAAGAGTCCCCCAGCAGTCTTCCACCCTTCAGCTAGACGTCTCCTTTAGATCCTACCTTTCCTTTGGACCAGCCCATCTTTTCCAGCATCTTCTGGCCAAATTTAGATTCATCTTTACTCCAAGCACTATTTCGTGGATCCACAGACCACTTCTGCCTTCTCCGGGCTAGAGCAGGAAGGAAAAATTCAAACAGGCTCTATTTACGTTTCCACGGTGTTCTTAGCATTTCATCAACTCAAGAAAAGCTCTTCATTGCAAAAAAACGCAGAACTTATGCCAGACTAAACATGTTTTGGGGGTTTAATTTACTAAATCTTATATTGCAAAAAAAGGCCAGTGAAATGTTAATTATTAGTGTGAAGAATGCCAAAGTAAAATTGCAATGGAAGCTGTCATCCCTAAGGATGGGCTGCAATCCAGGGAAGGCTTTAAGGATTACCATTTAGGTGTACAGGCCTAAATTCCATATTTATTCCAACCTTGTTTTACATCTGGCTTCAACATGAAATCTACAGGGGATGAGACTTCAGTGCTGGCTTTCCCAGTTCTGGACAATATCCCCTGGCCAGTCTCCCTTTTAACCAGAACATAGAAGTTTTAATATTTGCCTTGATAACAAAAGCCAAATCAAAAATCAGACATAAGTGACCAGAGAAACTGAATTACAGAACACAAACCAGTGGGATTTCAGCTTTTGGATTTGCCATAAAATGGTTTATTTGGAAACTGAAAAGTCACCGGAAATTACTGCAGGTGTTAAGAGATCCAAACGAGAATCAAGGTTCCTTTGTCCTATGCAAACGGCTAAAGAAACTACAGTCCCCCAGGCCCACATGCGTGCGCTCGCCTCTACCATCAGGAATAGCTTCATTGAAATCAAAGGAGAAAAATTACCAAGTTAACCAGTCACTTTAAGTGTGCACCTAAACATATGCAGGAAGACAACCTAAATAAACAAGACAAACAAAGAATGGGAGACAGGAAGATTACAAACTCCATTAAACACGATGGGAAACTGTGGATCAAAAATGACCGATTAACCCAAGGCCATACAAAGCCAGTCAGAAGCCAAGTCCACTGAGGCGCTTTCAACATAATCAGGAAGTCATCTTTCCCTAAAATGCAACACTTCGGATCTGGGCCAGAGGGATAGAATATTACATGACCGTTTGATTCATTTTTTGCCCAGTTTTGTTTCGTTCTTAAAGAAGAACTGATACTGTCAGAATGCACGATGGTGGCTTTTTTTAACACACTTCCTAAGCTTTGAAGCTCAAAATAGGTGCTGCATGGCAGCCCCATGAAAAGTAATAGTCTGAAAAAGTTTTGTAAAATCCCAAACCGTCCATAAAAAAAATTTTACAATAGGTTAACTGACCGAGAGGAATCCACACAGCACTCGCTTGGTTCACTTCTCTACGGGAAAACAACTTATTTCCAACAGGGAGTCTTCAGAGAAGTTTCTACTACAAGTCCTGCCTGTGTTGGTAACAAGAGGTGATAAAGTCACCGTGGACTGTGATTTTAAACACCCAAGCAAATTAGGGTTCCCTGCTGCCCCACTGAGAAAAATAACTGTCTCCCTCAGCGAAGTGGTTCACAATCTGGGACAATTAATGTGCTTTGTTATCTTCCCTCACCCGAGACGCAAATGATCTCCAAGGACCCAGGTTTCCAGTGGTTTGTGGAGGGAATGAACTAAAAAGCTATCAAGCTGGCAGCAAAAGCTAAGTCCAATTAAAACAGGGAACACCTTGGCTGTTGCTTTCGGCCTTAGCTGACAGTGAAACAGACAACATAAAGGACAATAAAGAGCAGCGATTCCATAGAGGTTATGCTGCCCAGCTGAGCAGCGGCCCTTCTTTTCAATCGTATTTCTTAATTTGTCCCTTTGTTTAAAAATCTCTCAATCAAGATCAACTTCCCCTCACTCAGTCACCAAAAATTACCTGTTCAATGCCTTTTTTTTAAATCTAACTATAACAACATTTTAAGTACTCCCATATTCTGTTATGCTTTCCATAACTAGTTCCCCAGGTGGTGACTTTGCAAATCCCAAGAAATTAAATTGGATGCAACGCTTACAGTTGTAAACCCACCATACGTGTCTAAGGATTTGTGTACACAGTAGAGGTAATAGGTGTCAACTGAATGTGCAAATTTAAATTAACTTCCAAACTGAGTTATTTGATGTAGTTCAACTAATCCACTTTAAAAGTTAATTTCTATTAATTTTCCTGAATATCCCTCTGCAGGGAAGCCTAAGATGTTTTACTCCCAGGAGGACCCTGGTAACAAAACACCACGGCACCTAATACAGACAGTTCTCAAGCTTGAAATTTTAAGACTCCTTCCCTTTCCCAGCACTTTTAATCCAAGTACTTCAAACCTTTTAACTACCATCATGGGATTAATCCTCAATGTCTGCCAGGTTAACACACTGTTATTTTCAAATACGGTAAGCTAGACACAAGAAAATAAACTTGCTTTCACCTGTAGAGAAGTATTTAAGAAAGCCAGGAACAACTCCATCCTACATACAACCACCATAAAATCATTCCTCTTCTCCAAACAAGCAACAAAAAAAAGGCTATTTAGTCAAAAATTTATCAGAAATGTTTGTTCACTGATGTCTTACGAGCAAGAAATGAAACAGCATACTATTCTCCAGCTAAAAAAATCAGCTTGGAAGTTAACACCAATCTTCTGGGTTGGTCATAAAATGATGCTAGAGATAGTAATGCAATTCTGGGCAAGCAGCACCATCCAGTGGAGAAATGCATTATTTCTTTAGATACTTCACTCCGATACCCTATGATTTGAAAAAGATCAATTACTAACCCCTTTTACCAAGACTAATTCTGTGTTTAACTATCATTTCTGGAAGTTCCTCACCAGTTCCCATCCAAACCCCTGCTGTGTACCTATATATGGTGACATAATAATAAACAGGTATAATAATAAACAGGTTAAATTCCTCTAAAATACACTGCCCACAGAAAGGATATTATTTTTAATCCAAGCTATAAAACCCATCATTAACATTTACTTTTTGTTTTGCTGATAAGCACCAATAAGATCGACAGTTAATCAAAATTTATTAAAAGTTAAAAAGTGTTAAAAAGTGAAAAACAAAAGCTAACTCTTCGGTCATTTCTGCAATTGATACTTTTTTTTTTTTTTTTAATTCACACTACACAAGCATAGAATGATCGAGTTTATCCTTTCTCAGTTTAGTTCACAGCATCACAAAAGTTAGAAGGACCTCTTGAGATCTTCAACCCCCTGCTTAAGCAGGTTGTCCAGTACCATGTCCAGTCTGGTTCTGAGTATCTCCACAGACTAATACTCCACAGCCCCACTGAGCAATTTGTTCCAGTGTTTGGCCACCCTCACAGTAAAAAAAAATATGAAATTTCTTGTATTTCAGTTTGCACTCACTGCTTCTTGTCCTGTCACTGGGTACCACTGAGAAGTTATTTTAAGTCTCTGAAATGCATGAGCTGTAGTAAAACCAAATACCTCCCCCCCTCTTTTTTAGGATGAATATTAATAAGAGCATCAGAACTTGATCTGGAACTGCAAACAAAAATGCAGGTGTGAAACGTGGCCTCACAATCATAACTACAGCTGAAGGTGATGAACAAAGGCATACAACTCCACAAAGTTGGCCCTCAGCAACTAGAATAGTGTTTTAAGGCACCTGATTTTAGAATTCGGTATATACAGAAGCTGTATTAACATACTGACCCAGGTTGCCCAGAGAAGCGGTGGATGTCCCAGCCGTGGAAACATTCCAGGCCAGGTTGAACGGGGCTCTGGACAACCTGATCTGGTTGAAGATGTCCCTCCTCGAGGCAAGGGGTTGAACTAGATGGTTGAGGGGGGTTGGACTAGATGGCCTTTAAAGCTCCCTTCCAGCCCAAACTATTCTATGATTATTTCAATGTACAATGTCCAATTAAAATTAATTAACAAATTCTACTAAAAGGTACTAAAGTTTATATCTAAAATAATTAGGAAATTATATATGTAAATACAACTTTGTTTTCCTCAATTCACACCTACATTTCCCACTGGAAACCATACTTTCTAATTAGTCACTATACTCAGGTCCACCTTTCCTGCAGCGAAACAACCAAGTTCATTAGATCCTGACACCAGTAAGCTTACTGAAACCACCTAAGAACATTCAGGATAATCAGACACAAATATATCAGTCCCATTAAATAGAAATTTACATGTTTAGTCTTTCTACTCATATACAGTTTTACATTTACTAGCAAAGGCTACTTTACAGAAATGCTTCTTTAACCTGAAAGAGAAAGCAGCCAAAGTTTTTAGTTGCCACTTTGGCCAGTCCCTAGAGTTCCAGATCCCGAACTGAAGAGCTTTATCCGTGAAAGAGTTATCAGTCAGGATATTCATCCAATGTTTTTTAAGCATGTCTTTTAGATATTATTTTAGATATTGGGAGCCCAAGTTCTCAGTCACCTCAGAGGCAAGAGTGAAGCTCTGTTTGATTCCAATATCAGGAAAAAGTTAAACAAAGTTATTGGGCTACATATAATAAAACCTGCAAAAATTTTTTGCTCAGCAACACCCTTACATAAAAGGCATAAGACAACTACATGGCCTTACCCTGAGTTCTCCCCATGACATCAGTGGATTTACTTGCCTTTTCTGAAGCACCTGCCTAAAATCCCTTACATTCCACTCTCTTTTACCAACCCAGAATTTAGCTAAGCTCAACTGCCAACCTTGGGTGCGATCAAAAGACCAATGTCTACATTCACAGGGCTCCCCCAAATCCTGCCTGGCTGCCACACAGCAGCCGCCCCCCCCAGCACAGCCCCAGCCCCAAAGCTTCAAGGTATGTGCCCTCTAACACAGAGTACAGATATGGCACCCAGAGCAAATATCGCCCCTAACCACGTCTGCGAGACATCTCCGCCGATATTGTCCGCCCCCCACCCGCGGAGCCATCCCCCTAAGGATGACAGCTCTTTCCCCCCAACCCCGCTCTCAGAGGATCGCCCCGAGCCCCGCCATGGCCGTTCCTCCCCGCGGGCAATGGCACTCACGCTCCGCCAGCATCGCCATCTTGGGGGCCTACCTCCTTCGGCGGCGCGTGGCGAGGGAACGCCGCGGCGCCCCTAGCCCTGAGGGGGGCTTTTATGACCTCTGTCGCAGAAAAAGGCAGCAACCAAAATGCCTGATTAAAAAATCTCGAAACAGGCGACCTCAGCGGCCACCCTAGTGGAAATAGACGGTGTGAACCTGTCTAAATTCTACTAAAGGCCTCAAGAGAGGTGTTGGGTTGTATATATGGGCTGGTTTTGCGCGTTCCCCGGCGGATATTGGACAGGCACTTCTGCGGGCAGCCGAGGGGCTGCAGCGGCGTCTGTCTCCTCAGAGAGCTCAGGCAGCTGCCGGGCTGCGCGGCGGCTCCTCAGGGCTGGTCAGAGCTGCTAAAGGCGCTACGAGCGGGTGGTGGGGCCACTTAAGGTGTTCAAGCGTCCCCTCAGGCGGAGCTTGGGGCGTTTTACGGTCTCCACAGGCGCAGCCCGTTGTGAGGGGGTGGTGGGGGGAATGGGATGAGCGGGGCTCGCTGCGGCCTCGGGGTGTGTGGTTAACAATAACGGGGAGAGGACAGTCTGAATGTTCGGGGGGGGGGGGGAATGGCCCTGAAATTA